AGGCACTCACCCTGGCCGGTAGAAATGGCCGCTTCCTGCCTAGAATCATGGCGATTATTTCCACTATCGATGAGAGTTGGGAAATGCAAAGTCGGTCCGTTTGGCTAACTTAGAGCGTGCATGAAAAGTGCAAGTCTGTCCGTGCATTCACACACACACACACACACACACACACACACACACACACACACACACACACACACACACACACACACACACACACACAAATCCTGGCTTTTAGAGATAGAGATCTTTTAAAATATCTAATGATTGGTATGCCCTGTGTTTCAAAGAACACATTTTTATTTCAAATTATTCTTTTTAAACGTCTACTTTAAATAATTTATTTCGTACAGTATAAGTTTTTTTTACCACAATGTATCAGTTTAAAAAGGGCAAATGAAATTTATCCCGACCTAAAGTCGGCGAAAAGAATGCCTTAACTCGTCGATTGGAGAGTTGGTATGAGCGTTGTGACGGGGTAGGGCTGAGAAAATAGTATGTCAGTCATTAGTACTGATCATAAACATAAAATTCACAGACAGAGAGATATATAAACACACGAACGCATAGACATATATACAAGCCACACTCGAGATAGATACACACTTTATTTAAAATAAAACATAACTGGCTAGAGATTTTTAAAAATTATATATTTTAGTTAGAGTAAAGGAATCATTTTAATATCTAAGTTATACCAACAGTATATTTTATCTATCTATCTATCTATCTATCTATAGATAATGAGCAGAATGTGATAGATAGATAGATAAATAGGAACAAAATTAATAGCAGATACTTATATATGCACAATATAATAGATATATGAAAGACTGTGGTCGATAGGATTAAAGAGACCGAAAAATTATGAAAAAAACTGAGATAGATAGATAGAGAGGAACAAAATTAATAGCTGATACTTATATATGAACACTATGATAGATATATGAAAGACTGGTTGATAGAATTAAAGAGACTGAAAAAGATATGAAAAAACTGAGATAGATAGATAGATAGATAGATAGATAGATAGATAGATAGATAATGAGCAGGATGTGATAGATAAAGATTAATAGATAGAGATAGATGAGATAGGAACAAAATAATAGTGAATAATATGAAAAATATAATAGATATATGAAAGACTGTGGTTGATAGAATTAAAGAGACTGAAAAAGATATGAAGAAACTGAGATAGATAGATAGATAGATAAATAGATAGATAAAATATATCACAGTATGTTTCATTTATCTATCTATCTATCTATCTATCTATATATATATATATATATGTGTGTGTGTGTGTGTGTGTGTGTGTTTCATTTTATCTATCTATTTATGTGTCATTTCATTTATCTATCTATATCTATCTCTCTCTCTCTCTCTCTCTATATATATATATATATATATATATATATATATATATATATATATATATATATATATATATATATATATATATATATCAAAACAAAGGCAGCAGACAAACATATGTAAAATAGTTTTGATAAAATTACCTAAAAACTCCAGACGTTTTATTATATTTAAACTTTATAAACATAATCTTATTTTTTTGTTTATTTTACTGAGATTTAAGAAAAAATATGTTAAACAAAACTAATTTAATTTCCATGTGATTCATCTGAATCAATTGACCTAAATTCTCACCGCAAAATATGACAGATGTCTTTTATTAAATGGCAAACATAACCTCCCACCCCCGCATATCTCACGACCATATCTCCCCGCCCAATTACAAAATCTTCAACTATCCCACTGCAATTCTTGGTTGGTGGGAGAAGTTTTGTCTTGTTGGTTCAAAAGAGTCCGTCTCAAGAGAAGTTATTAAAGGGATCAGCCGCCTCACTTGATACCGGGGAATATGTTGAGCCGTCCGTACGTGACTAAACGCGATTTTGTCTGTTAGGTGAGGTTGCAATAACGGAGAAAAGGCAGATAATTCGATTTCTGCCCTTGTACCGAGGTCGGACATGTCTGTCTGGTGGCAAGTGCGATCTAATTAGTCTGAATTGTGACATGTGACACTGATTTGTGCAAACGGATTTTCAAAATAAGAATCTGATGGTAAACAGATGTGGCGGCAACGGGCATTTTATATCCGTACGCAAGAGAAGGTAGATGATGAGCAACGTGAACTAAATGTTTCAAAACTTTGTTAAGAGCTTTATTTATTTCTCTGTCTTTAGTAATCGATTTATCGTTTCTCTAATATCGCACAATTTATATGCCCAATGATGATATATACCCGCAGAGAAATGGCTCGAGAGTTAATCTGGAGTTCTGTTCGCTACAGTAGCGTATTTTTCAGTGAGACCAGTAATCGTTGTTCTAGTACCGGGAAAAAAGAATTAACACTGGTAACTCACAGAATGGACTAAGTATAAACTAAAAAAAAAGACAGAAGGCATGGTCATCAGCAAAAAGATGAGCTTGAGATGCGATTTATAAGTCGGGGGCACTAAAATCAAGCGTGCGGAAATTTAAATATCTGGGAAAGTGTTCTGACAGAGGACGATAAGTGTGACATTGAGATCCAAAGGCGTATTGGGATGGCCAAAGACGCATTCAAAAGCTAGGCAGAGTATTACGAAACAGGAAGATTTATTTGGTAACAAAAAAAAACAGTACTGAACTACTACGTGATATCTGTCCTCTTTTACAGTAGCGAATGTGAGACACCAGACAGTAGAGGTATTGTTCTACAGAAGGATTCTAGGGATACCATGAACAAAATATGTGAGCAACGACGACGAGTTTTTTGTGAAAAGGATGAAAAAAAGAGGAAACATATACTTAACATCAAGAAGAGGCAGCTGAAATTTCTGGGAAACGTAATGACAAAGGTGTTGTTCATGATGACGGTCGTCTTCGAGTATAGAATCCAGAGGTTAGCAGTGAATATTTCGAAGACAGTAGGAAATCGTTGTTCAGGTTAGCAGTGGATATTTCGATAAAAGTAGCAGAGCATGGTTCGTCCTTCTGGTTCTCTTCGCCTGACAAGCTGGACTGGACATTCGGGTAGAGTAGACAAAAATGGCCGCCTTTATACACGACGGATTGAATGTTCTACGTCTTCTGATTGGTTAACCTTCTATTGGTGGACTATAAAGCGAGTCAAGTCATTTGGGCTGACTCACTAGTACATACATATACACAAAAAACTGAAACAAAATGAAGGCTTGGAAAATCTGATACTCATAGGGCGGATAGAGGTAAACAGGGACAAAAGAAAGCAACTAGTGACAAAGCTGGCTTAAGCAAGTGGATGGCAGAACAGGGTCTGGAATAAATAATAATAAATCAAAACTTATTGAGAACTACAAGGGATAGGAGGACGTGGAGAGCCATAAACGCCTACGTCCTGAAGAGACACGGCACATAAAAGTAAAAACACTCGCCTTATGTAAGATAAACTTCTTACCTTTTATTTCTGCTATCTTTTTTGTGCCATGTCTCCACAATTTCCTGTCCATTGTAGTAAAGTGTGTGTTTTTGCTATATCTCCTAATTCTTTCAATATCTGTCTATATTTCTGAGATGAGGTATTATGTACACTATTTACATTATTCGGACTATTAAAGTATAGAGAAATTTATTTACTGAAAAAAAAGTTTGATTTACTGAAAAAAAAGTTTGATAAACATTTTTTTCTATCCTCTGCCAGCTGCAATGATAGAGAAAGCATTGAAAGCACCATGAGCCAGTGAGACACCCTGCAAGAGCCACTGCGTTTCGCGGAGCTCGTCACTTAATCGAGACGCCATCGCGCCAATCCTCCGAAGGAACGCCATCCAACGAGGGCCAATAATCCCAGAAGTCTCCGCTGCCACAGGAGTAAAAAGAAATCTATCAGCAAGAAAAGAATATTTAACTATATTTTTCATCCCTGCCTCCCGAGCGACGGACCCCCTGCCCAACCGCGGACCTGATCAAATTACCGGCCAAACATGTATCCGGACAGGTCGCATCCCAAATCGACGACTTCCCCATTTTAAAACGGAAAATGGTCATGCCATCCAGCCGCTTTCCATCACCACGGTCAAGGCCTCCTTCTAACTACCTGAAGAAGGCCAGAGCGTACAACGGCCGAAACGTTGTAATAAATATGGCGACAAAGATGAGGACAATAGTCCGAATAATGTAAATAGTGTACATAATACCTAATCTCAGAAATATAGACAGATACTGAAGAAGGCCGGAGCGTACAACAGCCGAAACGTTGTAATAAATATGGCGACAAAAATGAGGACAATAGTCCGAATAATGTTAAATAATCTCCTAATTCCTGTTCTTAAACCACTTACACGAGTTCGTTAGGGTTGATTATGTGCTGCTTACCACTGCCCTTCTTACCTTCTGTACTTCCTATGAGTATCAAATTTGCTAAGCGAATTACGTGACCTAGAAATGTCAACTATCTTTCTCTGATGTAGAGTAGAAGTATCCTTTTGGCAGACATTTTCTCTAAAACTTCATCATTGCTCACATGTTCAGTCTGTGGTATTCTTAGTTTTCTGTATAAGCCAAATCATGCTGCCACAAGTCCTTTCTTTATTTTTGTTAAGATTGTTTAGCATTTACCATCCATATAGGAAGACTCATGCATTTTGAATATCGGCCTTGCATCTTGCGTCAATAAATTCAGAAAGTGGATAGTTTAGCTTAATCTGTAACAAGGATAAAAAAAAATGAGACTCTTTTCTTGCTAAATCTGTCTCGCTTGACCAAAAGCTAACCTATCGAGGCAAGTACCAAGGATCAAATCCCTTTCGCTAAGGAATTGGATCGCTTCACAAGCTTGTTTACAATCGCATTACATTCAGAACATCGGTGATCCTGACTCTCCACGACTTCTCATCTATTGTAGCATGTAGCAATCTTCTGCTAAGTTCTTTAAGTCGTTGCTTTGCTGTTTTTCATCTTTTCTTCTTACCTTCAAATTGCCTTCTGAGTGTCACATTTTCTAATCCCTCTAACCTCATTACGTACCCTAAATATTTCAACTGTATCTTTCTAATACAACGTCTATATGCACATTTTTTCCATTTTCTCTAAAATTTCATTTTTGCTCACATGTTCAGTCCATGGCATCCTAAGCATCATTCTCTAGAACCACATTTCTGTTGCTTCAAGCCTCTTCTTCATCTTTAAGATTGCCCAGCATTTACGGCTATATAGGTGGACTGATATTACATAACAGGGCAACACTCTTTTATTCATTTCTAACAAAATATTCCTGTTTCTTAATACATTCTTTGTCTTTTGGAAGGCATATTTCGCAATTCCATTAATACACCGTCAAATTTGGATTTGTCACATTTTCGCCCTCTGTTAAAACTATCTTTAAAATTCAGTTATGTCTGATTCTGATATCTCCAGTTCGTACTTTGCATATATTCTGCCTTCTTGCAATTAATAATCCTTTCTTCACACTCCCCCACCGAGACATACACGTATATATTTCATGAATTGCATCTGTGCCTTTACCTTCATCAGCAGTGATATGCTTCCTATGCCGCGCCAGGAAATTTTTCTCTCCAGAATCGATCCTCCAGATCTACAAATCCACAATTCGCCCTTGCATGGAGTATTGCTGCCATATATGGTCTGGTGCCCCTTCTGTTTGCCTCGGGGTTCTTGATAGGCTCCAGAGGCGGATATGCAATATAATTGGCCCTGTTCTGGCATATCGTCTACACTCACTTTCTCACAGACTCGCCGTCGCCTCTCACTGTCATTTTTACAAATACTTTCATGGCAATTGCTCCGAGGAGCTGCATTCGCTGGTTCCCAGACTTCATGAATTCAAGCGCCCTACGAGGCTGGCATCCCGCTCTCACCCTTTCACTGTCGAAACTCCTAAATGTAGCCGGTCTTCTACTCCAATAGCTTCAGGTCTCGCACCTCTCGCCTGTGGAACTCCCTTCCCTATTCCAGTTTCCCTGAGAGCTATAATCTCCAGCTATTCAAGTGTAATGTCAATCAACATCTCCAGTTGCCCTGATCTATCCACTACCCTTCTCCTCATCCTTTCTTCAATCACTCCTATCTGATCTTGCTCCAAATCTTCTGTAAACCCGTGCGTCCTAGTGGCTTCCGCCTTGCTTGGGGTGAAACGCTTAATATATATATATATATATATATATATAGTGCGAGAATAAACTATCCTCGAAATTACGCAATAATTAAAATAACACTGATATCTTATTTTAACAGATATATTTACC